ACAGACTGAGTAGAACCTCTAGAATCAAATGCTTTTAGCTAGTGTTTGATCATTGTCTGATGCTGTACATTAGTCATTCGTTTAGTTCCGAATTGAAATTGGGATGCATGTGAATTATGAATGAAAAACTAACAAATCTAAACGTATCCAGAATTATTTCCAAATGTCATTTTGAATGAATTTTATATTGTTAAACATTAAAAAAAACAGCATGAAGTGCCCTCCCCAATTCATACCAGACCCTTTAGTCTGGTAGGAATTTTACTGGAGACACCAACGCCAAAAAAGCGTAGGGGCCCCCCTAAAAACCCTTATCAAACCTTTGATCCGAGCAGCAGCCTAGCAGAGCACCATGCCAGTTCAAATGCCCTCAACATGGGGAGGGTGCTTTGCCAGGGGGGGTCCCCGACTGATTTGAATGGGGTCATATCCTTTTGCACAAGCGGAAACACGCGCAACTTGCCGGCCGCGTTTGGGGTGCCAATAGAAATTAATGGCACCGCAAGTGCGTTAAGCGTTCTTGGAACGCGCAGGTGTAAACCAGACCTTAGTATTTGAGGTAACGTGCGTAGGGCGGAGCTTAGGAACAGTGTGCACGAGTGAAGATTGCTTTCTGTGCAGCATCTGTGATTCAGAAGGGATTGATATTTTACCGTTGTGTGCGAGTACGAGTACTTGCCCAAATACTTGGAATCGGCACCGATATCGATACTAGTATCGGTATCGGTGCATCCCTAGTTGTGATTCCTCTTTTTTATGTGAGTAAATCTTAAATATTAGAAGCATTTTAATGGTGTGCGCTATGGTGTTTGTTTGATCCTTTGAATGAGAGCAGCTGATACAGAGGAGAGTGGTGTACAGCAATTGGGAGTGACAGGTGTAATCCTGCCAGCTGGAGGACGAAGGAGGGGACAGGAAGTTACAAGAAACCTATTGTGAGAAGATCTCTGTGCAGCGGTGGACACGGAGGAGACCAGTTTTGCAAAAGGGAATCTGCTATATCAGACTTTTTGTCAGAAGGTCTCATGGGCAGGTGAAAGACTGTCAAAAGAGTGGATTCACAGGGAAAAGTGGAGGTTTTGGAGTTTGGAACAGTGTTTGTAGCAGTGGTGGTGGAGTGTTGAAAAGTTGGGTAATTAAATTCACAGGGAGACGCATATTCACCTTTTGGGCACCATTGGAGGAGTTTTACTTTAGAGACACTATTGATGCTGGGCTTATAGACTTACAGATGACCACTTATTGATGATCACATCTTTATTTGGATTTGCACATTTTTTTCACTAAGGTATTAAGTTTATAATGTGATGATGAATTGATTAATGATATTTTATAAACCTAACAAAATAAGTAATCGTTTTTCTCCCAAGGGCCGGAATAAAGGCCCTGATCCTCAGTCCTGCGGCAGTCAGCGTTCACCTCTCTCTCCCTTCGCTCTGGCTGTGGAATGTCTCTCTGCACCCTCACGGCTAATGCAAGTTAATGAACCTGCATTAGACGTTATGACGTCAGAGGTCCTTAGACCACCGAATCCCAGAGCAGAAGAGGCTGAAAGGACTGGTCTAGCAGCTAGACTGAAGATCAGGCGAGTATATTTTCTTTATTTGCACCCCAGAACAAAACGAGCAGTTAACCCTTGCAATGTAGGGGTAGCCCCACTGCAAGCGTTAGTTCTTTAACCAGTTGACATCGGCGGTGTTAAACCCCCTTCCCATCCAGGCCATTTTTCAGTATTCAGCGCTGCGGTACTTTGACTGACATTTATTCCGTCACGCAACGCTGTACTGAAATGAATTTTATATCATTTTTTGGGGAAAGATAGAGCTTTCTTTTGGTGGTATTTATTCACCACTGGTTTTTATTTTATTTTTTACAATATTAACCTCTTGCCGTCCGCCCGTTAAGAAAAAACGGACGGACGGCAGACTTTCATAACAATCCCCCTATATAATAGCAATACCCGCCAATGCTGCAGTGCCGTTCGTCCGTTTTTTTACAACTGGCGGACGGCAACCGGTTAAAATCCTGGAGTTCCTCTTTAAATTGTACAAAGAACCAATGCTTTCAAGACTTTCAACTGAATATATCAAAGTGACAAGCTCTGTACTAGTTAGGTGCTATTGGTGTAGCCTACTTTAATTTGTATTAATCTTAAGTATTAAATAGCCAGTAATGGAGAAGACAGCTAAGGGAGAGTTGCATGTTAAGCAGTTTTGGGATTTCAAAACCAATATGCAAAATATTGTCTGTGATTTTTTTTTTGTCATATATTCTAGCTTGGACAATGTTATCACACAGTTACCAACAAAGTATACTTTTGTGTATTCTCTTTGTCATTTATGCCGACTTTTTTTTTTTTGCACCAAGGTGTTTAGACACATTGGGGTTTATTTGTCAAAAGAATAGAGCATGCTCATTTTGTAAAGTGTATGTAAATGAGTGAGGAAAAGCTGAGTTTGCTTCAGTCATCCAATCATGTTCACGCAAATATGTTTTTTCTTGTTTAGCTAACAATTTAATGTAACTGTGTTGTAATGTAAATGTTTTACAGTCATGACACAATTATGTTTCAGCTGTATTGAGGTAATGTCTATATGTTACAGTCAATAAACAAGACATATAATTTAACATAACTAGCTATTTAGTATTGTCTATTATTCATACCTTGTGGGTACTGAGTGGAAGAAGAAATTAAGCATTTTGTAATTGCTACAATCTATTCTTCTATGATTACTAGATTTTGTCATGGGCTAGATTGTGTTTTGATGTTGGTTTTCAACATACATTATAAAGATATGTAAAAATAAGAACAATTACATAAAAAGGGGGGATGGGGCAGAGAGAAATTAAGGGAAAAAGAGAGGAAAAAGGATTATAAACCACTAGGTCTTTACTGTTCTCAAGAAGCTATTAACTGCATCTGTACCATCATCGAATAAGATGGCGAGCAGCTAAATTAGAAGATATGTAATATTTGACCCAAGGTTCCTGTATTTTCAATAATTTAGATATTTTTTTTTCTCCCTGTTTAAACACATTGGACCGTGTTTTATAGGCTTTTCTGTCTTCCTCCAGATCAACTGTGGTTATAGGCTTCTGGTCATGGAGTTTCATGTATTTATTACAAGTGTATTTATAAGTGGCTTGCAAAAGTATTTACCCCCTTGGCAAGTTTCCCTCAAGAATTTCCATGTATTTAGCATCATCCATCATTCCTTCAGTTGTGACCAGCTTGCCAGTCCCTGCCAATGAAAAACATCCCCACAGTATGATTATGCCACCACCATGCTTCACTGTGGTGTTCTCGGGGTGATGAGCGGTCTTGGGTTTGCACCAGGCATAGCGTTTTCCTTGAAGCCCAAAAAGCTTGAGTTTAGTTTAATCTGTCCAGAGTACCTTCTTCCATATGTTTGGGTAGTATCCTAATCATCATTTTAGTGAACAACAAACCTGTTTGCTTATTTTTTTCTGTAAGCAATGTTTTTTTTTTCTGGCCACTCTTTTATGAAGGCCAGCTCTGTGGAGTGTATGGATTAAAGTGGTCCTATGGACAGATACTCCAATCTCCGCTTCAGAGCTTTGCAGCTCCCTCAGGATTATCTTTGGTCTCTTTGTTGCCTCTCCGAATAATGACCTCCATGCTCATCCAATGCTGTGAATGCTCATACCTGCTGGTTATATTTACTGTTGTGCATACTCTCCATTGATTGCTGAACCTCCACTGCTGTGAGAACGCCTCACTACTGATTAACATAAAACTGCTGTGTATACTCACCATCGCTGATCATTTGCACCTGACTCTCTACTTACTCCAGCTTGAACCCCACACTCCGTGGTCACCAAGCCTTCACCCCAGCGGGGAAATGATGTGAGGCAGCTCCCTCTCAGCCTCTCCTAAAAACGGGGCAAGCGAGGTGCAGCTGCCACTCTGATACCCGTACCCTAAAACCACAGTTGAGATCCATATAGTCTGTTAGTTCACCCGGACCGAACATTACAATGCCTGGTCTGTGAGTGTCAGAGATACGTGGGGCGACGCTGCGGTGTCCGTACCGAGTGCCGCCCTCCTCATCTCCGGTGGGTAGCTCCACCCCCTCCACTCAGCCGGCGGCTTAAAGCCACATAGTTTGAAAGTGCTCGGCGTCCTGTCAATCTTGATGAGAAGACGCTAAGGAATTTCCTCTCTGCAGCCGCATGCTGACACCTGTTACTGCCTCATATCAGCAGCTCTCCTCCGCTCTGCTGAATGATCCTGAGGATCCAGTGTGCGGGATTCCTGGTGCAGGGTCTTGCTGTTTTCCCTTCATCTTCTGATCTCCACCAGCCATCCATCCACTCCGGATCTCCCTTGTCAGCCTGCTCTACCCCACATTTGCTGCCAGCTGTTACACACAGTTGAAGCCGCCATCTGGGGTGAGCATCCCTCCTCGTACTTGCATGCATCCAACTCAGACCTGAGACTGAGGGGTTCCCCTAAGGAAACTGAAGGCTTACCTGTCTTGCTATTGGAGATTCCGTGTGCACTCAGCTACCACCACTTCTGCTAACCGCAAGTATACTACATGCTTTTACCAGTGTGCTTTCTGGGATAGAATGCATTCCATACAAAGTTATACGTTGGACAATTGCCGGGGTTAATGTGACTCCTTGTGCACACTGGAGACTACCACCACTTCTACTAAACGCTAGCATACTCTATGAATTAAGCGAGTATACTACTGGGGTTGAATGTAAACCATACGAAGTTCATTTCATTGGACAACTACAGGTGTTATGTGAGTCCCCCTGCTAAGGGTACATTAAAGTAATAAACTGTCATAATTCCTACAGAGGGCAGTTATACATGTATGATGTAATATAGGTTCCATTTGTCCCATTTTATTCAAAAACTGCAAGGAAGATGAATATAACATGTAAAAGCAGATGGGGGGCATTAATCTATCATTTACAGTAAGAGGTAACGTTTTCCATAAAAGATCACTTTTTAATGTTTTCAACAGATCTTGCAAAAAGAAAGGAGAGGAGCCGAACTTGATTACAGAAAAATGTTTGGAATGAATTGGCTAAAAGCAGGTGGAAGTAATAAAAGTGAATTCAATAATCCCTCTCTGACGTTTCTATTGGAACATCCACGATACACTGCTCTTATTGAAAGTAAGGGAAAACGATGTTTTTATAGTTCATTTACAATTCAGTTAATACCTTTATTTTAGCTGCGCACTGTTTAACCACAACATTTTTTTAAAACTCCATAATGAGTAATTAAGTTATCTCAGTTTTTCCTAACCAGACGTAAAGTGTACACGTTACATATTTGGTGTGGCTGCAGGTCAATATGAAACCTACAGTTTCTTAAAACTCATTCCGGTCCAGAAAAAGAACCACTGCTTGTCTCATTTTCTCTGGTCTGGAACGCACTGGAACACATGACAACGCACCAGAACGCACTGGACTCCACCTGAAGACCCATTTTAAGCTAGAAAAAACCCACAGCAAAAATGTCCATATCTGGTCTGGGCATGGTGTAAACATATCCTCAATATAGTCTTTGTCTTTACTTTTTATGAGTCTTCATTATAGCTCTCCTTACAGGCACCAATTAATTGTTCTCATGCCCCCCAAGTTTATGCCCTGTCTGTTTAGGCAAGGAAGGTGCAGCATTTAAATTGAATTGTCATTTCTCTTTCATGGCTTATTTATTCGGAAGAAGATAAATCATTAGTTACAGTATAAGAAATTAAGTATATTTAATAAATGTGTTACTTTTTGTAATTCTAAGATGGAGGGGCAATCTTCAAATTGTGACAAAGTCAACAAGGAAAGTCTTATCTAAAGACTTGCAGGGTTATTCACAAAAGGGTGAAGATTTTGGAGAAGGCAGGAGACGTGAACAATCTAGGACAACACAGCTAAACTGGAAAGTGAGCTGAATTGGAGAATTTTTAAAAAATCAGCTATTTTGTCCTAGATTGTTCTCCTGCCTTCTCCATACTCCTTCACCCTTTAGTGAATAACCATGTTGGATAATAATATATTTGAACAGTGTCTCTTGGAATCAGTTATATGTTTAACAATATAATTACTTGAACACAGTGCTCCTATTTAAATCATGTCTAGATAAAAGCTATCTAAATAAAATAAAAATCAGTAAAATCCTAGTGGATGAACAGTATAATAGCTGTACAACATTTTAAACAAATACAATTAGTAATAGGCAAATAAAAAACAATTCTGTGTGCAATCTTGGTAAAAACATTATCAAGGTGCAACATCAACTCAACTGTTGCAAGTATCCGTCTGTGATTAAATATAGTTCATGATATTTAGCAAATGTCCACCATGGTACAGTGTGCAAAACTCCCAATATTCAAAAATGTACATGACAACTTCACTGGGTAAACTCACTGGAGCAGGTTGAGATTGAATCAAAAAGGCTAGAAAGCACTATTCCCAAAATAGGGTAAACAAAATATCCACTCCTCCACCTCTTAAACCCTTTCTCTCTCTTAAATACTCTATGTGACGATAAGGGGGTCTGAGTCTGAATATTAAAAATAGAATTTGTTTGTTCCCCCAGTTCAGAGCACCTGCAGGGCTTCATTTAGTGATGTGACAGGCCCCCACCACATTCCACATTCCACAGAAGAGATGCTCTGGCTGTGATCTTTTATTGCCCAGTCCGAGTGGAATTCAAACATATCTCTGTAAGCTTTTATGGCGGTCATTAATAAAAGGCATGGCATTGTATATATATTGTGTCTCTTTTATTAAATCTTTTTCTGTATATTTTCTGCACCGTTTCTTTTATAAAGGACGATATAAAAAATCGCTAAGCTTATCTCTACGCTCTAAATACGAACTTAAAGTATCCTTGCTCTCTGAAGAGCGCTACTGTATAGTGAATCCTGTCATATTCCTGTCTTAGAGGACAGCAGCATCACAGGCATTGTTTAAGTGTTTAAATTGTTGCAGCATTTGCTGGGCGCGTTTTGTGTTCCGAAAAACACATGGTGGCAGTGGAAGTTTGTGGGTAACAGGTTAACTGCAGAGTTAACCAACCCTGGTGACGATCGCTCTCAGTCTGCTGGCCTGAGATTGTTGTCCTGCGAGCTGGGAAATCTCTGCGCAGGGTGAGGCTGAGAGTGGTATCGCCACGTCCTTCTGACGCTCACGCTCGGTTCAGACTTGTGTATGGTCACGTGGGATTTAAGTACAGCGGGTCTGGGCCGGGCGTACGTCACACTCTACATAAATGATATAAAAGAAGAAAAGGAAGACTCTCCAAAACCATTTAGTTTATTGAAGTTGATCTAACATTACTCACACTTTATAATTGTTGGGTTTCATGACAGACTAGATACAAAGTATACAATCATTAACAACCTTTATTATGCTTTTACCAGTTTTTGATGAGGAAATGCACAGTTGTAGAACTTTGAGGGGATTTTAATTGAGGGTTAATCTGATCTGTGTACATTGGTTAAGTTTACTTTGCCCTTGGGGTACTTTAGAGGCAAATGTTTTTAATATATTAAATGAACTTTGCACGATATTCTAATTATTCGAGTTTCACCTGTATCTATATATATAGATATAGATATATATAGTGCATGCAACTATACATAAATAACAATCTATAAATAAACAATATTGAAAATATACTCCATCACATTATTGTGGTGAAGATATAACGTAAGCCTAGAAAAAAAAATTTTTAATCATAGCAACAGATGTATAGTGGTGTAAACCTCCTATCAATATATATGCTTTCTAACACTCCCACTGAAACAGGAACCACTCCTCAGTCCAATGTATAATATACATAGACTGGATCCCTGTGTCTGTGATGATTTAATCAAAAGAAATAAATGAAAGTAATAGGGACCACTGGATGAATAATTTTAATGTTGGATACAGAAAAGAGAAGTGTGTTTGTTCTGACAAGAATGCTAATTTTCAGAAAGGCAAACTTTGATATGCTGTGTCACCTAGTGTATGACACCCAATGGGACAACTTATTTCTAACATATGAACACTGATGAAAAGTGGGATTGTTTTAACCACTTGAAGACCATGGTTTTAAACGCCCTTCCTGGCCAGGCCATTTTTCAGTATTCAGCGCTGCAGTACTTTGACATTTATTCAGTCATGCAACGCAATACTGAAGCAAATTTTATACCATTTTTTGGGGACAGATGGAGCTTTCTTTTGGTGGTATTTGATCAACACTGGGAATTTATTTTTTACTATATAACAAAAAAAGTACCCTAAATTTTGAAAAAAAAAACTTGTTTCCCTATGAAATGTTATGAAACATTTATTATCACCCCAATTTTTTCGTGAAACATAAAAGTTTCGGGTAAATGTGCGGCACAATAGGCGGAATTGTCGTTTTCGCACGCTGTTGCACCCAACGCATGTTTGCGTGTTTATTGGAGGGACAGGGACTTTTAAAAAAAATGTGTTATTTTACTGTTTTTTTTGTGACTATTTTTTTTAATCGTCTTTATATTTGTATGCTTTAATTTTTTTGAAACTTTTTTTTACACTTAACTTTTTTGCTATCATAGAAACCCCCTATGTGATAGCCAATTCACATAACAGGTTCTCTTTAAGGAGGCATCAGGGGTCTCCAAGACCCCTAATGTCACTTAGGGACCCCCATAGAAGCTGATGAAACGGAGATCTGCTTCAGCAGCTTCTCACCAGCATCTGTAACCGGAAAATGACACTGAAAGCAGCAGGTGATGTAGTATACATCACTTCCTGCATGCGGGGACCGGAGAGGAGATCAAAGGGAGATTGTGTACTGATCTCCACTGACAGAGTCGCCGTGCCGGTCCCAGCCGCACTGGGCACAGCGGATCTTGGGACCGGCAGCGAAGGCGGAGGGCTACACACCTGCACCTACTACAAGCGATCGCTTAAATGTAAACTTGTTTTCCCCATTTTTCTCCTCAATATACACTTTAGAAAAAGACGGGTTTAATGGAGATAAGAATGCGAATAGCTCAATGCATAAAATACCACAGTGGTTGACGGTAGCCGGGGTTCAACAAAGACTTGTAAAACTTAATGCAAAAAAATCAATAGGACTGGATAACCTGCACCCCAGGGTACTTAAAGAGCTCAACCATGTTCTAGTGAGACCGTTATTCCTCATTTTCAATGACTCATTAATGACTGGAACGGGACCCAATTGATTGGCGTAAGGCAACAGTAGTACCAATATTCAAAAAAGGCTCAAGATGCAAACCTGGGAACTACAGACCAGACTACATCAATAGTATATAAACTGTTTGAGGGAATGATAAAGGACTATTTAGTGTTTTTTTCCCCGCGACATTGGTATAATAAGTGATAATCAACATGGATTTATGAAGACCGATGATGATGATGATGACCGTACTTGTCAGACCAACCTACTAACATTCTACGAAGAGGTGAGTAGAGAACTGGATAGAGGAAAACCAGTGAATGTGGTGTACCTGGATTTTGCAAAAGCATTTGACACAGTACCACATAAACGCTTTATACACAAACTGAAATCTATGGGCATAGATGAAATGGTGTGTACATGGATAGAGAAGTGGCTCCAGGACCGTGTCCCGAGAGTATTGATAAATGGCTCATTTTCACAATAGGCTACAGTAATGAGTGGTCTGCGCCAGGGTTGTGTGCTAGGCCCAATACTGTTTAACCTGTTTATTAATGATATTGGGGAAGGTGTTAATAGCCATGTATCTGTGTTTGCAGATGATACTAAAATTGGGAGGGTAATAGACACGGGCGTAGACAGTATAACATTACAAGAGGACCTGAATAAAATAGGGGAGTGGGCAACTGTATGGCAGATGAGGTTTAATATTGATAAATGTAAGTAGTAATGCATTTTGGGGTTAAAAACAGGCAAGCGGAATACACATTAATTGATTTTCGTCTAGGAAAGGCAGAAATGTAAAAAGATTTGGGGGTCATAGTAGACCACAGACTGAATAATAGCTTGCAATGCCAGGCTGTGGCAAACAAAGCTGGCAGAGTACTGTCTTGTATCAAAAAGGGAACGTACTGTGGAGACAAAGTGATAATCTTGACACTTTATAGATCGCTGGTTCGGCCTCATCTTGAGTATGTAGTTCAGTTTTGATCACCAATCCACAGAAAGGATGTCCTGGAGCTGGAGAGAGTTCAGAGAAGGGCAACACAACTACTTAAGCGGCTGGAGGAACAAAGCTATGAGACTAGGTTGCTAAATTTAAACTTGTTCACGCTGGAAGTGAGGCAATTAAGAGGGGACATGATTTTAATGTAAAAAATGGCAACATCCGCAATAAACTTTCTACTTTAAACTCTCTAACAAGGACTAGAGGCCACCACCTAAAATTTTTGGAGAAAAGATTTAATCACAAGGGGTGTAGGGGCTTCTTCTCAGTCAGAGTGGTTCAATTTTGGAACTCTCTGCCACAGGCAGTGGTATCAGCAGAGAGTATTGAATCATTCAGAAATCAATTAGATACCTTCCTCAGAAACCTCAGACGACACAGGGACTCATATACAGACATGCACGCACTACACACATATTTACACATAAAGGTTGAACTCGATACTATGTAACTATGAAAGCTGTCCACCGTATCAACTGTATCCACCGCACCAACGTGCTGCACACAAGCAATCTGCACACACCGTATGATAATGGCCACCCTATTTCAGATAGATTATATTTTGTCACAAGACTTGTAGAAGTAACATCCACCGCTAATCTCCTTCTGTACTCAGAGAAATCCAGGAATCTGTCTGGGTGATTTCTGCCCCTTCCTTCTTCCGATGTCAGGAGAAGTGGGTTTTCTCTGTAACCTGGCTCTACTGTAGTATCCCACTCCTTGGACCAGATTGTGGCTCAGAAAGACAGATAAACACCTTCCGTAGTGCAGTACAAACAAACTTGTATTAAATAATAGCTTAAATACAGACTTGCAGGCAATAAATTAAGTCCTCATTAGGAATCCGCTCTCCTTCTCCACTACTGCGTCCTCCGTGTACCTACTAAACGTCACTATGCTCCGCCCTTCCGATGCGTTTCGTCACTCCAACTTCCTCTTGGGGGCATACCTCCTTCATGCAAAGAGCTTTCATCCCCCAAAATTAATAAACAGTTTACCAGTGGGCCAGTAATTTAAGAGCACAAAGAAATGCCTCAAAATAATCAGGACTTTGAAATAGAGGCTTTTTCTTTGAGAGATTAATTTACAAATAGAAGGTACAAGAAGAAACGGTTAACTTTATCACTACCAAGCCCTGTGGAACGCTTCACACCTCAGCTGGCCACACCATTTTTGCAATTTTCTCTCAACCATATATTTTCTGGAAGCACAGGCCCGGTAGAATAAAAAGATAGTGCTACTAAATTTGTAGGCCCTGCGATAATTGCGCAAACTGTAAATAAGCGACTTATGTTAAGAAACGTTTTTGCACTGTGTTTGTGGTGTGGTAAAATGTTACAGGCGTACATTTCATTGCAACACAGTGTATCACAACACATGGCAATGTGTCACAATGCTTTGCCATGCGTTCCCACAGTTTAATGTTATTTTAAAAAGAAAATAAATCAAGCACTGCAATGCGTTCTAACAACGCACTGCAGCGCATGTGCATGGCGTACACCACAATATGATGCACGTGTATGCTATGTGTGTGTGGGGGGAGGGGGGGGTTTGTGTTTTGAAACAGGAAGTGGCCATCCCTAAACTCTTCCCACAAGGTTGGGAGCATAAAGTATGGTTTCAAGGTTCACACAGTCAGAAGCTGGAAGCAAGAGAGGAGCAAGGAAAGAGACACGCGACACGCTACAAAAGCCGGGAGCCAGGAGCGCCATCAAGGGCTGGACCAGACCGGATTGGAGAGCGGGCGATCGGATCGGTGACCAGGACCCAAACTGCAGGACTGCTGAGTGGTGACCAGGGCTGCAGGAGCGTGTGGGGGTGAACAGTGCTGCGAGAGGGGAACGAGTGGGAGAGAGAAGGAGAAAGCTGTGTTGAGAGTGGTCTGAGTGTGTGGTGTGATCGGTGCCGCAAGAACCGAGGAAACAATTGAACGGGGTGAGTGGGGTGATCGTTGCTGCAAGCTTGCGGGAGAATTAATTATTAATGATTATATTCTGGGCATTAAGTGTATTACCTGCGGGGCATTAATTGTACATCAGTACTGCATGCATTAGTGTAATACCTCCTGGGCATTAGCAACATATCACTTGGGCATTAGTGTAACAATTCCGGGGCATTGTGTAATATCTCCTGGGCAATAGCGTAATAATTGCAGGGCATTAGATAAATCAATGCTAAGCATAGTGTAATAACGGCATAGCTGGGCATTAGTGTAACATCTCCTGGGCAATAGTGTAGCCCTCGAGCAGAAGTGTAATATTTCCTGGGCAGTAGTCTAATATCTCAC